TATCCTCAAATTCATGGTAATCCTCCTGCTTCCGCTTTCTGTTATTGTCATGAGCCACTATTTTATTATTATTTTGTGTACATGTATATATGCATGCACATGTGTGTGTTCATGTGTACATATGCAGATGTGTACAATGTGTGGCTGAGTATGGGGACCAGAGGAGAGCCTTGGGTCATTCTTCAAATGCTGTCCACATTTTTTTCTTCTTCTTTTTTTTCCTTTTTGGTTTTTTGAGTCAGTCTCACTATATAACCCTGGGTGACCCAGAGCTTGCTATATACACCAGGCTGGCCTGATCTCACAGAGATCCGCCTGCCTCTGCCTCCCACGTGCTGGAATTAAAGGCAGTGCTGGGATTAATGCCATGTGCCATCATGCCTGTCTTTGTTTTGTTTTTAAAGACAGGGTCTCTCATGGCCTGGAGCTCATCAAGTAGGCTAGGCTAGATGGCCAAAAGATCCTGGGGATCTGCCTGTCTGTGTCTCCCCAGCACTGGAATTACAGGCATGTGCTACCATACCTGGCTTTGTTACAAAATATGGATTCTGGGAATCCAATTGAGGCCCTCTACTGACTAAGCTGTCTTCTCAGCCCCAAATCTTAATTCTTAAACATTTTTAAATTTTAGCATTATTGTATGGGTGTGTGTATGGGTATGGGTACAACACACATATGGAAGTCAGAGGACAACTTTGTGACATCAATTCTCTCCCTCTACCTTTACATGGATTCTGAGCATCGAATTCAAGTCACCAGGCTTGTATGGCAAGCACCTTTACCCACTGAGCCATCTTACCAGTTCTTAATTCTTTAAAATTTTTTTTTAAATTTAGTATTTATTTATTTGTGTGTCTGTCTATCTGTACATATGTATATGCATATGTGTACAGGTGCCCACAAAGGCCAGAAGAGGGTGTCAGATCCCCTTAGCTGAAGTTACAGGCAGCTATGAGCTGTCTGATGTGGGTGCTGGGACCCAAACTCCAGCTAGTCCTCTATAAGAGCAATAAGTGCTCTTAATCACTGAACCCCTCTCCTGCCCCATAAACTCTTGACCAGGTGTGGTGGTACATACCTTTAATCCCAGTACACAGGAAGCAGAGACTGGTGGATTTCTGTGGGTTCATGGCTAACCTTGTTTATACAGCAAGCTTCAGGCCAGCCAGGGGTATGTAAACCCTGTCTCATAAAACAAACAAAAACAAAAGAATAAGTAAATCTTAATCCTTAATAATTTGTTGTTTATTTGCATTTATTTATTTTGTGTTTATGTATGCATGCCATGGCTGAGCATGTAGAGGTCAGAGGATAATTTGTGAGAATCAGTTCTCTTCTTCCACTATGTGGGTCCCAGGGATTGAACTCAGGTCATCATGTTTGGCAGCAAGTGCCCTTAACATTGAGCCATCTCACTAGCCCTGATGTTGTTTTGAGGCACAGCCTTCTGTAGTCTAGGCTGGCTTTGAAATTAGTTATGTATGTAGCCCAAGCTATTCTTGAACTCTTGATCTTCCTGCCTCTACCTCCTGAGTACTGGGATTGCAGGTATGAGCTATCATGTGTATCTAAAAAATTAAATTATTCCTATGGAAAGAATTTTAAAATGTGAGGGTCTCTATGCAGAATCAGGAGAGCTATGGAGAAGGCAGAAATCATGGTACAAGCCTTATTTAATGAGATTGCTGATCTGCTGGCCCGTGGGGCTTCTCAGGCCAGGGTGCAGGAAGAGGAAAGAGCCAGGAGAGGTCTCCCTGGTGGCAGAAGTGTTCCTGTTCCCTCACAGATGTGTCTGTCCTCAGTAATGGAGAACTCACACTGTGAGTATCTATCTGCTTGAGGGCTTATTGCAGAGACCATTGAAAGATTTGTTGGATAACATTAGATGATATTGAGCTGCCTAGTCCCTGGTCTTCATTCTCCACAAGGAAGAGGGAACAGATTGCTCAGAGAACTTTGAACAAGGCAAGGGCTAAAGAAAATGGCCTTTGCTTCCTGCAGTCAGGGCCTGCTGTGGCCTGGTGGGGATAGAGCAGATGGTCTAACCTCAGGATTATAGACACTTCACCCTGAGTGTCTGATGCAGCTACTCTGAGCTGAGAAATGCCCCCATCACCTAGGACTTCCCCGTCTCCCGTCCCATGAGTTTTCATGGGGTGTAGGAGATGCATTGAGGGTGTTATCTTTCAAGAGAACAAAATAGTTTTTTGTAAGAGCCCTGGAGACAGGAAACACACCGTGCTTGAAATTCTAGCCTTTGTTAGTGACATTGACAATGTAATATACACCTGTAATTCTAGCACCCAGGAAGCTGAGGCAGGAGAATTGCTACGAGTTTGAGGTCAGCCTGAGAGGTATAGTGAGACCCTATCTCAAAACAAAAGAAAACTATAGACTTCTTAAGCCTTATTTTCCCCTTCTGGTAAATAAAGGTAATAATAACGAATGTTTTTTGAGTGTTTGTTCCCACCAGAATCTGTGCTACATATTTTGTCTTCTTGTGTATGTGTGTAGTGTGTGTGCATGTGTATATGCATGTTCATAGTGTATGGGTGCTCACGTGTGGGTGGGTACATGTGCACAGGCCCAAGGTCGTTGTAGGGAATCTTCCTCCATCTCACCTTATTCTCTGAGGCAGGGTCTCTCAGTCAAACCCAGAGCTTGCTGATGTGGCTAGTCTTGGTAACCAGCTTGCTCCAGGGGTCCCTTTGTCTTCCCCTTCCTAGACTGAAACTGCAGGTGAGCTGCCACACCCACCTGGCTTTTATGTGGGATCTGGGGAGCTAAACTCTGTTCCTTTTGTACACTTTTAACTCTTGAGCCTTCCCCCAGCCTTGTGCTCCATACTTCAGTTCATAAACGTGACCTTATTTAACCCACGCAACAACCTGAAGAGTTATCTTAGCCCCACTTTATAGAAGAAAAATACTGAGACTGTCAGAGGTTAAGTTCTTGTCAAACTCACACAATTAATGAATGACCCATGCTTACTGGACCTTCATTTGATAGTTCTGAGTCTGATACATACAGACATATCCTCCTAGCCCTAGCTTCATGGAGCCACAATCTCCCACAGAACAGCAGTGAAAAACTAACCAAAGCCTTTGGGTTATCCATCTATTCATTCAGTTGGTAGATGCAGTTCACAGCCTCTGAAATCTTGGGTGTGCAACAGGCAGGTGAATATACCAGGTACTTTCGCAGTGCCTCACTGTCTCTTTTGTCCTCATTTTTTTTTTTTTTAAAGTTTGGTTTGGATTAGGTTGGTAGCTTTCTATTACTATAATAGATAACTGGATGATGAGCTTATAAAGAGAGAAAGGGCTTATTTTAGCTCACTATTTTAGAGGTTTCAATCTATAATCAAGTGGCTTTCTTGCTTTGAACAAGAAAGGTAGGTATGGCAGCACATCTTGGTAGGCGTATGTGGCAGAGTAAAACTGTTTACTACATGACAGGAAGCAAGAGATAGGAAGAAGGGGCTAAGGTCGCACTTCCCCCTTCAAGTACACATCCCTAGGGACCTGAAGACCTCCCACTAAGTCCCACCTCCTAAAGGTTCCACACTTCCCTAAAGCACTCTTCCAGGGGCCAGGCCTCCACCACATCAGCCTGTAACATGAGATTAAGAAGGAAGGCATTCATATTGGTTAAGGAAGAAAGTAGTTTCCGTTGATCAAGGAGGCCTAAATTAGAAATCATAGGCCCCATCCTAGTCCTCACCCTTCCTATTTCATTGTACCTCAGCTTGCCATTGTGTTGAAAGAGTGTGAAGCAGTCTCCAGGGCTTCCAAAGTCGTAATGATGAAAGAGCAGACAAGAACTAAAGAAGGTTATAGTGGGTGTGTTAGGGCCTGAGGGATGGCTCAGTGGATAAAAGTGCTAGCTCTGCAATTCTGATGACTGGAGCTTGATCCCCAGAGCCCACATAAATCCAGCAGTGACACACGTCTGTAATCCTGGCATGCCTGTTGCAAGATGGGAGGCAGAGACAGCCTGGAGTACACGGTGCAGCAGGAAACAAGGGAGACCCTGCCTCATGCTAGAACTGACTCCCAAAACTTGTCCTCTGACCACATGCTCAAGGTGGCACATGCACAGCAACACTCGCACATACACACACACAGACACATTTAGAATGGGTGTTTTAGGAAAGAGGCAGCGTTGGGAAGACACGGATATGACTGTCCAGGGGAGCTGCTGGTCTCATGTGCCAGTTTCTGACTTCCTACATACACTCTGGCTAAAATTGTGGACAAACGGTGTATGGTACAGTTTTGTAGCCTTGACAAGCCTTTGCTGCTTCAATTATATGATTTGTTTATCTGTCTGATTTAGCCACTAAGATTGGTGATTACCACCGCTTCATGCCCTTTGAGATGGGGACTTAGAGAATGGATGTTGCCAAATGATCAGTTTGGCTAGGACTGTCTAGGGAAGGCCAGAGTGGGTGCAGGCATTTGGTAACCAACTCAATCAGCAAATAAATACAGCTTGCTGGCCAGACTCCTGAGGCTGGGGCATCTTCTGCTCCAAAGCTTTTGGGAGGCCAGCTTTTCAAAGGGCAAATGGGCGTGACAAACAAAAGACAGAGCCAGGATAAAGACTGGAGTGAGGTGGGCCAGCCAGCTGCAGGTGGAGAAGCCAGGGGGGCTGGAGTCCAAGTCACGAAGCCAAGATTTGGCTTTAGCGCTGTTGTGCAAACCATCAGTTGGAGAAACCGAGGTCCAAAGAAAAAGACAACTTGCTGAAGTGACTACTAAGTTTGTGGCAAAAAGTCAGAGCCAGGAACACATTCTCTGCCTCCCTCCTGGGACAACCTTACCCTGATGCTGCTCCAGGGTCCTAGAAACCTAGGGGATGGCAGAGCTAGTGCTGTGGTGCAAAACTTCTAGATCTTTGGAGCAGCCAGGAGAAGCAGGGGATCGAGAGAACCAGTGTGTAGTAGGCGCATAGGGGGTTGAAGACTAATGGAGCGTGTTTCTCCTTTCCCTTGCCAGGTACACCAAACCACTCACCTTTGCTGACTGCATTAGCGATGAGTTGCCTCTAGGATGGGAAGAGGCGTATGATCCACAGGTTGGAGATTACTTCATTGACCACAACACCAGTAAGTTCTTAACTGTCCTCCCTTCCCCAAGTTCTGTCCTAGCCCCATCCCACCCCCACAAGTCTGGAGGAATCACCAGCAGAGTCTTGAAGCAGATTATGTTTTATTTTATGTAGACAGAGATGTCAGTGTGGATATAGATAGATAATGTATGCTCATGTGAAAACAACAGTTCAGAGGGGTTTTTAATAGAATCTGAAACTTCTCTCACCATCCAGGTCCCAGATTTTAGAGGAAGCATTCCTAACAATTTCTTCTTTATTATTTCAGACATTTCCCAATAGTGTGTTTGTGTATATATGCATATATATTCATATTGTATATGTTTATGTTCATGGATTGCTTTTCTCCCCCTAAAAAAATTTTGATATGCCGTTCCCACTTTCAGGCATCCACAGCCCAAGTCATCCTCCAGCAGCACAAATGCACATATGTCCTTAGGAGATTAGTGTAAGTGGGTGTGTCCTGGGCCATCATGTGAGTCAGTGCAACCTCACTTTGTGTCTGTGATCCGTCTTCTGATCTAGGATGAAGATTCCTATTCTCCGTCTTCCTGGGAACTTTGATGGAGGAACTAGCTGAGAAAGTCAGAAGTGTGTGGTCTGTCAGGTGGAGGAAGCCAGGGAGTAGTCCCCCTGCCGGGGAGACGTGATTTGTTTGGGCTTCACCTGTCCTGCACCGTCTTGAGTCCAGACCATCCCTGTCCTTTGAAGTTGACTGTTGTTGGCACCAAAGTGTAGGAGAGTTTCTGAGAGACAGCTAATGGCATTAATGGCATTGTTGGGGGTAGCAAAGGTTTTTATAAGTGCTCACAATTGTGTCTTGGATAATGAGAAGTAAATATGCCTAATTGAGTATGTATGGGGGAATGAGATTAATGCTTGGAGGGCTACATAGGATGCTGGGTTAAACACTGATATGCCAGAACTGTAATCGGTACTTTCCTGTTCCTAATTGCTGAGAACATCTCCCTCGTTAAAATCTCATGGCAGGAATGGGATTTTAAGGTGCTGGAAAAACAGAAGGAAGAAGTATCAGGCTGTGGCAGAGTTAATTCTCTAGGGGATAATGGCAAAAGTAGAATGTGTGTGTGGGTGGCTGTGTGTGTGTGGGGGTGTGGTTGTGTGTGGGGGTGTGTGTGTGTGTGGGTGTGGGTGTATGTGTGGGTGTGTGTGGGTGTGGGTGGCTGTGTGGGGGTGTGTGGAGG